CGCGGGCGCGACGATGACCGTGCTTCGCGCGTCGCCGCCTGGGCTGGGACGTGCCCTTCTCCAGGGGGCGTAGGGGTGAGCTTCGAAAGTATCGAGTCTGATTGGCATCTTGTGTTCGCCGTTCGGCGTCTGAATTCTGGGGTGACGACGGCGTGCGCGAGCATGCTGTGCAGGTGCACTCAAACATCTTCGACGCCATGCTGTTTTTGGGGTTCCCTAACCGTGCCCCTGGAGCTCTCGACCTCTTCCCCGCGGTCGTTTTTTTTCGGCCCGGGTCGTTTTGTGATGGGCCCCAGGTCCGAAAACGTTGCCTTCACATAATCACTGCGCGTCGGAGGTCCGGGAGCTCACTCGGCAGTGCCTCTGTGGAGGTGCGCCCAGGGTGTGGGGCGAGGTGTCGGCCTTCCGAGAAGGCACGGCATCTGCCTCTCAAGAGCGCCTCTCGCCTTCTACGCAGCCTTCTCAGGCGCATCCGAGACTCCGCCTCCTCAGAAGGCCACCCGCTTCAGATGTTTTCCGCAGCGTGGACTCCCAGGTCCACGTTTTGAAGAGACAGTGCCCCGCGTTCCTCTTCCTTCCTTTGTTCCTCCTCCCCCTCCTCGTCCCCCTCCTCCTCTTCCTGCTCTCCGCATGCCCATCCAATTTCGGCACACCCCTCGCACGTTTCGGGGCCCCATGGGGAGCACCACCGAAGGCCCCAGTCGGAAAGTTCGCTTGGCACCGCCGCCCAATTTCGGCACACCTCTCACACGTTTCGTGGTCCCATGAGGGAGCTCCACCTAAGGCCCCGGTGGGAAAGTTCGCATGGCACCGCCGCCCCATTTCGGCACACCCCTCACGAGTTTCGTGTCCCCACAGGGAGCTCCACCGAAGGCCCCAGTGGGAAAGTTAGCACGGCGCCGCCGCCCCATATCGGCATGCCCCTCACACGCTTCGAGGTCCCATCGGAAGCCCCACCTAAAGCACCAGTGGGAAAATTCGGATGGCACCGCCGCCGAATTTCGGCACACCCCTTACGCGTCTCGTGGGCCCATCGGGAGCTCCACCGAAGGCCCCGGTGGGAAAGTTCGCATGGCGCCGCCGCCCCATTTCGGCACACCCCTCACAGGTTTCGTGGCCCCACGTGGAGCTGGGCCCCAGTGGGGAAGTTCGCATGGCACCGCCGCCTCATTTCGCACACCCCTCACACGTTTCGTGGTCCCGTGGCACCGCCGCCCCATGTCGGCGCACCCCTCGAGCGCGTCGTGGCCCCACAGGGAGCTCCACCTGAGGGCACAGTGGGAAAGGTCGCATGGCGTCGCCGCCCAGTTTCGGTACATCCCTCACACGCTTTGTGGCCCCATAGGGAACTCCACGGAAGGCGACGTTCGCAGGCGTCCTCCCGACTCATGTCGGCACACCCTGCGCACATTTCGTGGCAGAAGGCCATTCCGCGTGCGCTACTCGGAGTTTGCGCGCCCCCCTCCTTCGTCTCATCTCCCCCGCGGCACTCGCAGCTGCATGTGCTTGGGTCCTTCGTCAGGCTATTTTTTGCTTCTTGGGGACCCTCTGGAGACGCCTCTTGGGAGCTTCTCTGGGCGTCTTGGAAGCGTCTGCGGCCGTCTGGAAACCATCTTGGGTGTCTTGGGCCGATCTGTCGGCGATTTGGGAACCTGTTGGACCGTGTTGGGGGCCTCTTCAGGCCCTCTCGGAGCGCTCCTGGAGGCTGAGAGAGGCCGCGCTCAGGAGATGAAACACCTCTGACCCGAGTGCTCCGGGAGTCTCGCGGGTTACTTTTCCCGTCCGTCACCAGCCTCGAACCTATCCCTATCCCTAAGACTGACATGCCACAAAGCGATGACAATCTCAGGGACGCGCCCTCAAAACATAAAGGAATCCCTAAGATTGGCATCCTGATGAGGAGATGCCCAGCATAGGGATAGGGATACTCCAGATTTCGTAATAAAAGGGAGGGGGTCTGGACCCTCCAAGACAAGCCATTTCAGACCCCCCCTCGTGGGAGAACCCTCCCAAACATCGTCCCCAGACCCCCCCAGGCCCTCCAAGATAGCCTGGAAGAGACCCCCCCCGAAATGAGACCCCCCTCCCTTTATTACGAAATCTGGAGTAGGGATAGGGATGTGTTCCAGGCTGGTAAGTCCGGGGGCTCCGGGGGCCGCCCCGTGCGCGCGAACTCCGGACCGCGATCCGGCGGGCCTCGGGGTGGCCAGCGGCGTCGGCCGAGACCTCCAAGGGGAGGCCCGTGGCTGGAGCCAGACGTCGTCGGCCGTGCAGCCCGCCGGGCGCCCTGGCGACAACTCGAATGGATTGTAAGGTTCAGAAGTTTCATGTGGCGAGCCGCTCGAAATACGGACTATTGCGTACTAATCGTGTCGCGGCATTCTTTGCAGCGCGAAACGCGAATTCTGTGATTGTTTGGGCGTTTCTGGTACTCCAGACAATGGCAAGGCCTGCCAGGAAACTGTTTCTCCCCACCGGGATGGGCACAGAAAGGAAACACATTACCAGTTTGAAACATATCCCTATCCCTATGTTTGACATCACCTCGCCTCGACGCCGATCTCAAGGAAATTCCCTCGGTTTCGGAGGGCCTATCCCTAAGATTGTCCTCGCTTTTTGCTCGGCCGTCTCAGGGATGGGGATACGTTCGAGGCTGGTTCATCCCGCCACCGTGCTTGGGTCGTGGGTCAGAGTTCCCAGCGATGCCTCTGAGGGTCAGGGGGGCCTCTTGGGAGCAGTTCTGGGGCCTCATTGGGGGCCTCCCGGAGAGCCTCCTGGGAGCCCCTCGGGGCCCCCCTCGGGTCCGTGCGGGTCGTCCCTCTGGGCCCCCTTCTTTGAGTAGTGTTTGGGGCCTTCTGGGCCGTCCTGGGCGTCTCTTGGACCGTCTTGGGGCCCTTTGGGGCCGTTTTGAGGTCCTCGTCTCTTGGGGCGATCTTGGGGGCCTCCAGGGCCGTCTGGGAGCGTTGGGAATCCAGAAAGGCGAGTACGCCAAGCACCTTCGAGCACCTATCGATAGTTATTGATTTTGGCCTCTTGGGGCCTTCTCGGGAGGCCTCTTGGACGCTTCTTGGGGCGTCTCGGAGGCCTCGTAGGCTGTTTTCGGGCCATCTTGGGCATCTTGTAGCTATCTTTGGGCGTCTCGGGGCACTGCTCGGACCGTCGTGAGAGCCTCTTGGGGCCCTCTTGGGGCCCTCCTGGGTCTGAGAAATTTGTGCGGCAAGGTGCGCCGGAACCCCCCAGGTGCACGCCGGGACCCCCCCCAGAGATCTCGGAAATGGGGTCCGGGCCCCGTAGAGACTCCTAAAAAGTGGGGATTGAGGTTTCGAGGATCGGGCAACGAGCGGACTTGCAGACACGCCCACTTCCGTGCCTGGCGGCACTGTGGCGGATCCGACATGAGATAATGCTGCAGTATGAGGAAGCGTACGAATATGCGGAATAATATCAATACTGATATCATGATGCTGTTGCTGCTGACGATGATGATGATGACGATGATGCTGATGATGATCACAACTAAGAGCAACAGTGATAGTGATACATTTTATGATCTGGTAACAGTACGAACCCGATGGCAAAATAAGTGAATCATTATTGTAAACGACAGCGCGTACGCATGACATACGCATGCACTTGGCTCGGGGCGGATCTCTCGGATCTGTGCTGGGCCCCCGTGGCGACGCCTCTTTCCCCCCTCCCTCCTGGTGCACTCCGCGCGCCAGGGAGGGGGGGTCAGCGCAGATCCAAGAAATCCGTGCGGATCTCCGAAAGTTTACGCTTATGCAGTGTGTTCTTCTTCTGTGGTAGCCGCCATAGGGTTGAGAGGGTCAAGCCGCTGGAGGCGTACCCGTGGAGAGGTATAGCCGTCTTGGTGGCACGAGCCTAGTTTGCGAGTACTGCACCGCTGGCATTTGCCTCGAGGTTGACCCTGCTGGGATATGCCACGACGGGGTAGTGGCGGTTCTGAGGGTTGCTGCAGGCAGGCCTTCAGGCCCAAACGTTCCTCAAAACGTGTGCATCCCCCCTCGCCGTGAAGGGGCATCCAGACAGCAGCTTTTTTGCTGCACTGCGTGCTGCTGGACGCTGCCAGCCTCGACGCCGCGGTCGTTGGTGTCGACGGTGTTCGCGGTGCGCACAGAGACGACCGCAAATGCTGAAAGCCCCGGCAGTGGGCTGCTTTTTGCCTGGGTGGGCGGCTTCCGTCGGGGGCGGACAAGAGGGGGGTTATGACTGTGGGGGGGGTGGATATCATGGTGTGGGCCATGGTATTTCCCCAGATTTCATGGCGCCTCTTCTTATTTCATGACGTCCCTGGCCCCCCCGCTGGGCCGCGCACATGCCGCCGGCCATGATTTGCACCCCCCCCCCTGGACCCCCCCCTCTTGGCCGCTCCCGATCCCAGACGGCCCAATTTTGCCTTCGATTGACCCTCGAGGCGTTCCAAAAACGCCCCACAGGAGCTCCAAGACGGCCCAAGATGACACCGCGCCAGCCCGAAGGTGGCCCAAGGCGCCCCCGCTGCCAGCCCGCCGACACCTCGGGCACCTACGGCAGACCCCGCCCCAGCGGCAAGAGTCCTGGTCGGGCCGCGGCGGCCCGCGGGCGTCCCGCCAGGGGCCCCGCGTGGGGCCCTGCCGCATCCGTCGCCTCGCATTCTTCTGCCCTCTCCTCCTCCCTGCTCCCTCCTCCTGCTCCTCCGTCCTCGGGCTCCCTCTCTCCTCCGTCCTCCATGTTCCCTCCTCCCGGGTCCTCCTTCATGCTCCACCCCCTGACTTCCATCTCCTCGCTCCTCCATCCTCAATCTTGCCTCCTTCATCCCCGGTCCTCCCTCCTCCCTCCTCCAGCCTCCCTCGCGTTCTCAGTAGCACTCCATCGCGCATCCCATACCGCGCATCTACTAGTCGCCTCCCCCTCCTCCTTCTCCTCCTCCTCCTCCTCCGCCTCCTCCTCCTCCTCCTCCTCATCCATGCTCCGCCCTCCATGCCCTGGCCGTCCGCTAGGATGGCGTCGAGCCGCCCGTGCCGCCTGTCATGCAGCGGTCCATGCTCGCCCCGCATGGGCCGCAGCTGCGGCCGCGGTGCCCCTGGCTGGGGAATGGAGGGGGAGGGAGGAGGGGGGAGGGAAGCGGGAGGAGGCAGGAGAGAGGAGGACAGGAGGGAGGAGGGAGGAGGGAGAAGGGAGGAGAGAGGAGGGAAAAGGGGAGGAGGGAGGAGGGATGAGGAAGGCGGGATGAGGGAGGAGGGAAGTGGAAGGAGGGATGAGAGAGGGAGGAGGAGGGGAGGAGGGAGGAGGTAAGAGGGAGGAGGGAGGACGAACATCGCGTGGGTGGCAATCATAATGGGAAGTTTCAGAGGTGTGGAGATACGTTGGACCCTCTAGGGACGTCTTCGTTGTCCGAGGGTCCCTGGAGGAGTCCTCGACCCTCTCCAGTGGTAATTAACGCCATCATGATATGTGGGACTGGGAACCCAAACAGCCCTTATGATGGAAACTGTGCGGGGTGTGAGGCCTATTGACGGTCCCCAGAGGCGAGACATGAAGACGGTCTTCGCCAGATGGAAGAGGAAAGGGGAGGCGTTGATGCCCTTGGTGGCGGCACTCTCGGTGACGAAGCCGGGGTCCTCATGCGGGCTCCTTAAAAGGGGGGAGTCCGAAAAGACTCCGCCGACCCCGCCAACGACTGCGTCGACGCAAACGACGACGACGACCGACCGACCGACCGATCGACGAGCACAGACGCCAACGATAGCGGCGGCGGCGACGACGTCCAGCATCCGCGGCTGTCGCCGGGCCAGCAAGAGTGCGGTGCCGGCGAACAAGCCATCCGCAGGTCCACCCCCCGACGAGGGGGAGGGAAGTGGGGGGGAAAAGGGGGACGGGGGAGGGGAAAGGAGGAACAGCAGGAAACAGGGAGGGGGGAGGGAGGGGGGAGGGAGGGGGAGTAGGCGAAGACTGTCGATCCCCCGGCGTTGCGTTACAGCTTCTGCTTCGTTCGGAGTCCACCCCCGTGCACTCCTGGCGTACAGTCGTGTCTGTCGGCGCCAAAGGGTGGAAACATGTTGTTTCGTGTTTCGCCCAACCTTCCCCCTGAATTTCCGAGGCACCTGGGGGATCATACATACAAATCCGCTGGCGGCTGAGCGACAAGAATTTGTATCGCATATGTTTGCAGTGTGGCATTTCAGATTTACCCTAACTTTCATCAAAAGATTTGCCTTGCCCGGAGGAGGAGAAGCAGGAGGAGGAGGAGGAAGAGGAGGAGGAGGAGGAATAAGAGAAGAAGACCCAGGAGGAGGAGGAGGAGGATGAGGAGGAGGAGGAGGAGGAGGGGGGAGGACAGGTGAGGAGGGGGAGGAGGAGGAGGAGGAGGAGGAGGAGGAGGAGGAGGGGGAGGAGGAGGAGGAGGGAGGAGGAGGAGGGAGGAGGAGGAGGAGGAGGAGGAGGAGCGACGCCAGGTACGACCAAGAGGACGAGTGGGAGGAGTTCTGCGAGCGCACGGACTTCGCCAAGGCCGCCGGCGCCGCGTGCTCGCGGGCGGTTCTGGGCGCGTGAGTAGGCAGTCGCGGCGAGGAGCTCCCCGCCACGTCCCCTCTGACTTGGGGGGCGCAGGGCTCATGTCGAATCCTCGGGCTAGATTCGATTCGATTCGATTTCGATCCCGATTCGATTTGATCTCGGATTCCGATTTGGATTCCGGTTTCTCAATGGTCAAGCAGTGGCGAAGCGTCCTGGCTTGCCCATAGGCCCACCAATGAATGTTTTAGTGATCTTCTGTGGCCTGTACGAACTGTTCTTAGAACACTTCAGGCTGAGACTGTATTGTTTCAACACATCGGTTTAATGTTCTAAGAGCATTCTTTTCTTATTCGAACATCTTTGGGTTCTAAGAACAATCCGTGGTAGGCCTGTACGAATGCCGGGGGACGGTCGGACCCTGCTCAGCATGGAGGCCTTACAAGCCTGCCGATTTCCGCCGATCCGATTTCTCCCGACTCGGCTGCTGTGGCTGCCGATCTCCGCCGATCCGATTCTTTTCGATCGTCGATCCGACCTATCGATTCGATCTTGCGCTCGCTCGGTGGACGTCACGCATGTGCACCTCACCGATCCTGGCCGGGCCGATCCTCGGCCAAGGGTCGGTATGTGTAATTCCCTTGTCGAGCCAGGAGGGCGTATCCAGCATATGTCTGTATGAATGTATGCATGTGTGTATATCCTACATGTAAACAGGTATGTCGGTATGTAGAATTTTACGTTCGATGTATGTATGCATGCGTTCATGTGTGTATGGTTGTATGCATGCATGCATGCATGCATGCATGCATGTATGTTTATACGTAGGTATGGGTGTGTATGTGTATGTGGATGTATTTGTGAAGGCTATGCACATGTATGGGTTTAGGTGTTATATATATATGGTGACGTATATTTGTTGATCCATGCATTGATATGTATACGTACGTGTACATGTATCTGTATGTATATATATATATATACGTAGACCTGCGCGTGCATGTATGCATGTGTATATACATACATGCATATGTATACGTACAGGCATATGTATATGTATATGTGTATGTACTTGTGTACGAGTATGCACGTGTATACGTATATGTTGTTGCAATTGTGCATGCGTTCGTATATGCATGTTCGTAAGTATTTGTATACGTGCATGAACATATGTATGCACGCACGCATGTACGCATTCATGTATGCATGCATGCATGAAAGTAATGCGTGTATCTATATGTATGTATGCATGCATGCATGCATGCACGTATGTATGCATGCATGCATGTATGTATGTATGTATGAATGTATGTATCTATGTGTTCATGTTTGCATATATATATATATATGTCTACATGTCTGTGTGCGTATGTCTGTCTGTCTGCCTGTCTGTCTGTCTGTGCGTCTGCTTGCATGCATGCATGCATGCATGTATGTATGTACGTTTGTGTGTACAGATGTACCTAGATCTGCATGTATGCATTCCAGTTGTGTGTATACATATATACATACCGTTGTCCACACACATATAGATATGCATATATGTATCACTGTGATCATGCATGTCTGCATGTATGTGTGCATGTATGTATGCATGCATGCATGCATGTATGTATGTAAGCATACATTTATGTAGGTAGGTATGTGTGCATGCATGTATGCATGTCGCTGTGTATGTACACATTTATGTAGGTGTGTACGTATATGTCAATGGTTGCATGCATGCATGCATGCATGTATGCATGTATGCGTGTATGCGTGTATGCATGTATGCATGTATGCATGTATGCATGTATGCATGTATGCAGGTATGTATGCATGCATGCATGCATGCATGCATGGATGGATGGATGGATGGATGGATGCATGGTCATCTTGGCCGTCTGGAGGACATTTTGACCCTTTCGGGCCTTCTTGGAGGACGTCTTGGAGGGCTCTTGGACCGTCTTGGAGGCCATCTTGAGCGTCTTGGAGACCTCTTTGGCCGTCTTGGGGGCCTCTTGGGGCCGTGTCTTGGGCCTCTTGGGCGATCTTTGGGGGCACTCGGGCCGTCGGAAGGCCGAACAGTAAGCAAATGCCACGATCCTTCAAAAACTCGTGGGAAATCAATGATTTTTGCCCTTTCGGGCCTTTCTGGAGGCCCTCTTGGAGGCCTCTTGGGCCGTCTTGGGCCATCTTAGGGCCATGTTTGGCCGTCTTGGTGGGCTCCTGGTCCGTCTGACGCCGTCGGAAGCAGTTTGGGGGGCCTCTAGGGGCCGACTTGGGGCCCTCTTGGACTGCTCCAGGGCCGTCTTGGAGGCCATCTTGGGCGTCTTAAAGGCCTCCTGTGCCGTCTTGGGGGCCTCTTGGGGCTGTCTTGGGGCCCTCTTGGGCCGTTCTGGGGCCATCTTGGAGGCCTCTTGGGCGATCTTTCGGCGATCTTTGGGGGCTCTTGGGCTGTGTCGGGCCGTCGGAAGGCAGAAAAGAAGGAAATGCCAAAATCCTTCGAACACATGCGGAAAATCAAGGCTTTTTGCCTTCTCTGGTCTTCCTGGAGGCCCTCTTGGGGGCCTCTTGGGCCGTCTTGGGCCAGCTTCGAGCCAACTTCGGCCATCTCGGTGGGTTCCTGGCACGTCTGACGCCGTCGGGAGCCGTTTGGGAGGCCTTTCTGGTCCGACTGGGGGCCCTCTTGGGGCGCTTCGGGGCCGTCTTGGAGGCCATCTTGGGCGTCTTGGAGGCCATCTTGGGCGTGCTGGAGGCCTCTTGGGCCATCTTGGGGCCCTCTTGGGGCCTTCTTGGAGGCCACTTGGGCCGTCATGGGGCCCTCTTGGGGGCCTCTTGGGCGATCTTGGGGGCCTCTTGGGCCGTCTTGAGCCGTCGGAATGCCGAGAAGAAGCAAATTCCAAAATTCTTCAAAAAACCTATGACAATTAATGATTTCGGTCTCTTCGGGCCCTCCTGGAGGACCTCTTGGAGGCCTCTGGGGCCGTCTGGGAGGCCTCTGGGGGGCCTCTTGGGCCGTCTTGGGCCGTCTTGGACTCTCTTGGGCTATCTTGGAGGCCGCCTTGGACCATCTTGGGCGGACTCGGAGGCCGTCTTGGAGCATCTTGGAGGCCATCTTGGGCCAACGTGGCCATCTTGGCCCCATCTTAAGCCATCTTGGAGGATTTTTTACCTAACATCGAAGACTGATAGGTTTCTAGTGGAGTAAAAAGAGAGCAGCACATTACTCCACAGGGGGGTCTGGGCAGCCGTTGGGGAGCCGTTGGGGGGCCGTTGGGGTTTGCCGGGGGGATCGTTTTTCGCATACAGTCACACACTTCGTGCTTTTCGATTTCCCAGAACTCCATTCCCGGGCCACATTCTGAATGCCCGGAGCCAACTGTACGCCACTTCGTGCTCTTCGACTTCCCAGAACTCCATTCCCGGGCCACATTTTGAATGCCCGGAGCCAACTGTAGGCCACTTCGTGCTCTTCGACTTCCCAGAACTCCATTCCCGGGCCACATTTTGGATGCCCGGAGCCAACTGTAGGCCACTTCGTGCTCTTCGAGTTCCCAGAACTCCATTCCCGGGCCACATTTTGAATGCCCCGAGCCAACTGTAGGCCACTTCGTGATCTTCGAGTTCCCAGAATTCCATTCCTGGGCATGATTTTGAATGCCCGGAGCCAACTGTAGGCCACTTCGTGTTCTTCGAGTTCCCAGAATTCCATTCCCGGGCCACATTTTGAATGCTGAGGCAGGCTGAGGCTGAGGCTGAGGCAGGCTGAGGCTGAGGCAGGCTGAGGCTGAGGCCGAGGCTGAAGGCAGACTGAGGCTGAGGCTGAAGCAGGCTGAGGCTGAGGCAGAGGCAGGCTGAGGCTGAGGCAGGCTGATGCTGAGGCAGGCTGAGGCTGAGGCTGAGGCTGATGCAGGCTGAGGCTGAGGCAGGCTGAGGCTGAGGCCCAAGGCTCAAGGCAGACTGAGGCTTTGGCTGAAGCAGGCTGAGGCTGAGGCTGAGGCTGAGGCTGAGGCAGGCTGAGGCTGAGGCTGAGGGCTGATGCTGAGGCAGGCTGAGGCTGAGGCAGGCTGAGGCTGAGGCTGAGGCTGATGCAGGCTGAGGCTGAGGCAGGCTGAGGCGGAGGCCGAGGCTGAAGGCAGACTGAGGCTGAGGCTGAAGCAGGCTGAGGCTGAGGCTGAGGCAGGCTGAGGCTGAGGCTGAGGCAGGCTGATGCTGATGCAGGCTGAGGCTGAGGCTGAGGCTGATGCAGGCTGAGGCTGAGGCAGGCTGAGGCTGAGGCCGAGGCTGAAGGCAGACTGAGGCTGAGGCTGAAGCAGGCTGAGGCTGAGGCTGAGGCAGGCTGAGGCTGGCTGAGGCTGAGGCTGAGGCTGAGGCAGCTGATGCTGAGGCAGGCTGAGGCTGAGGCTGAGGCTGATGCAGGCTGAGGCTGAGGCAGGCTGAGGCCGAGGCTGACGGCAGACTGAGGCTGAGGCTGAAGAGGCTGAGGCTGAGGCTGAGGCAGGCTGAGGCTGAGGCTGAGGCTGAGGCAGGCTGAGGCTGAGGCAGGCTGAGGCTGAGGCCGAGGCTGAGGCAGGCAGACTGAGGCTGAGGCTGAAGCAGGCTGAGGCTGAGGCAGAGGCAGGCTGAGGCTGAGGCTGAGGCTGAGGCTGAGGCTGAGCTGAGGCAGGCTGAGGCTGAGGCTGAGGCAGGCTGAGGCTGAGGCAGGCTGAGGCTGAGGCTGAGGCTGAGGCTGAGGCTGAGGCTGATGAGGCTGAAGCAGGCTGAGGCTGAGCTGAGGCAGGCTGAGGCTGAGGCTGAGGCTGAGGCTGAGGCTGAGGCTGCTGAGGCTGAGCAGGCTGAGGCTGAGGCTGAGGCAGAGGCTGAGGCTGAGGCTGCAGGCTGAGGCTGAGGCTGAGGCTGAGGCTGAGGCTGAGGCTGAGGCTGAGGCTGAGGCTGAGGCTGAGGCTGAGGCTGAGGCTGAGGCTGAGGCTGAGGCAGGCTGAGGCTGAGGCTGAGGCAGGCTGAGGAGGCTGAGG